TGATGGCCCAGCGACCCCGACAGGCGCCCGCGTCGGTCCTTGGCGTCACCGACGTCCTCACGACGATTATCCAGTGCACGCCAAAGCCCAATGATGTGGTGTCGTTTCTTCAAGCGCTGCCACCGAGTGTGCTAACGCCCGCGATGACTGCACTTCTCCAGCTCTTGGTGCCCACCGTGAGCTCCGGCTACAGCCCATACTGGCCGGTGGCATCGCTCAGCAAAACAAAGGACGATGACGTCGCCTTTGTGGTCGCTGCTGTGCCTCTTTTTAACAGTATTGTACTTGGCGGCTTCTCGATGAGCAAGCGATGGCCACCAAGTGAGGACGCCACCTACAGCTTTGGCTTTTGCGCGTTTCTTGCGAAGTGGGCCAAGAAGGTGGTACGATTGGACCTCGACAAGATCTCTGCCAAAAGTACCGCCCAGATTTCTGCCGTGCACTGCGCCAGTGCACAAGCATCAAGCATGCGTACATGCCGTACGAGCTGGACCTCCTCGAGGCAGTGACAACCCCCGCCCACAACGTGCCGGACCTCGATCTCTGTTCCCTGCATGCGAAACATTACCCGCTGGAAGCCGCGTTGCTCATCCAGCGCTGGCTTGCGTCAGGTCCCAGACGCCGCATCACGTTTCGCATGCTGCACGCCACGCGCGACGCTGGCCTGGCGCGTGTGCTCGCCTTGTCTCCGCACATAACGAAGCTCGAGCTGGTGAAGTCCGAGGGCATTCTTGCCGCCCTCGCTTCGAACGGCGCTCGCTGCACCTACCTGCCCGAGCTTACTATACATGTTTATGACGAACCAGGGCGCGTTCTGCCGTTGCTAAACCCGCGCGTGCTCCGGAAGCTCTCTGTCATGGTCTACGAGCTCGCCGAAGTCGTTGGCCTTGCTCCAGCGCTTGCCGAGCTCGTAGCGCTCGAGCAACTCACCCTCAAACGCATCGATCTGCGCACTTTGCCGAGGATCAATGCTGCCGCCGTGACGACGATGCGAAAGCTTAAATTATGTTTCGTCGAGTGCACGGCCACAAGCGTAGCAAACGTACTCGACTGGGTCACGCGCTCGCCCTGTCTCGAGTCGGTCGTATGGATGAGCTGTGCGGTCTTTGGCGCCGATATTGGCTGCGCCATCGATACAGTCCAACGATGCATCCGCTCTCTCGCCCACACTGTGGCGTTCGAAGACTGCGGTATTGATACGCATGGCGCAACGGCCTTGGCCCACGGACTCCGCAACACCCACGCACGTCATCGCATTATGATCGACCTCTCGCGCAACAAGATGCTCATCGCGGCGGCGCGCGCATTGCTCTCAGCGCTCGCCACGTGCACCAACGTGTCGATCAAACTGACGAACAGCCTTCGCACCCTCTCGGTGGACGACGACGCCCAGGCAAAGCAAGCGGGGGTCACCATCGAGTGGTGCCTGCGCAACGAATGGCCGAGCTACGTGCTGACGCTGCATTCGACTAGAAGTTAGTTTCGCGAAATTGATCGACGTTCAATAGCTCTTTGCACTATGGAGGATTTTGACGAGAGTAATCAGAAAGTGGTGCTCTCTCCGAGACTTGAACCTGGTTCTACCTGGTGGTAAACCAGTGTAAAAACCGCTAGACTAAAAGAAGTCGACAAGAACACCCTTTCTTGACTAGAGTTATCGCACAGAAACCGTACCTCAAGTGTACTGGTACTAGGGACTAAAGTTCACTATGATCTGCCTGTTTTACCGGACGAAAACGACAACTTGACTTTGACTCCACAGATGGCAATGATGTTCAGGCGAACACAAACGCAAGGATACTTTTGAGCTTTAGCGATGCGTCAACGCATTAAGCAGTTGATCATAAACTACATAAATATATTTTAACGTTTCACACACTCGGTCGCCTTTCAGCGCACATGGACTTGGAGTGCAACACGCCGGATCGGAGCAATTTAGTCGACTTCTTCGATTTTAGGGCTCAAGATCTGATACTTGGCTTGGATCTCGTCAGCACTGGCCATGATGTGACGGCCAAGAGAGATGATATCGAGCCACTCGAGCACTTCCACCGCGTCAGCATGCAGCTTCTCCTGCGGGTCGTTGCGGAACGCATTCGCATACTACGTCTGAAGCGCCTCGTGGGCCACTCGCCGGCGGGCTCGGTCGTTTGCAGCAGCCTCAAAGCTTGTCCTCAACCGCTTGACGTCATCCTGCGAGAGGTATCCCTTGTCCAACTTGACGACGAACGTTTCGTTCATTCCGATATGTGGCGTGTACTTGACGGTGGCAGTCAAAAGACCGCGCTCATCGATGTCGAATGTGACGTCGCTTCTCGCTGTCGGGTCGTATTAGCCGTGGATCGCAATCGTGTGGAGATGGGTGTTGTCGCGTGTCATCGATCGTTCGCCCGCAAAGATCTTGATCGCGTTTTCTGTGGCTTCAATGAATGGTTCTTTCGGTGGGTCGATGCCGTGTCTCCCGCCGTAGAGGCATTCAATGCACTCCTGGCAGTGCTCTTTACTGCACCGACTGCAGGTGCAGTCATCGTCCGAGTCATTGCAGGTGCACTCGTCGTCCGAGTCGTCCGTGTCGTTGCAGGTGCGCTCGTCGAGAAAATCCCATGGCGTCGGGTTGTACCGAAGCTTTCACAGGAAAATTTCAAACTTCTTGGACTTCTTGGCTGGTATGGTCGTGTTGCGCGAGATCAGTGATGTCAAAACACCCCCGTCGGTTTCAATCCCAACAGAGTCGGACACGGCGTCGAGGACGAGAAAGCGCGAGTCAGGCCACGTTTCGCCGTACACGGCCGCTGCCATGACCGTAGCGCCGTGAGCGGCAGCTTCGTTGTTGTTGAGGATCGAGTGGCAGAGCTTCTTGTCGACGTTGGCTCCACCAAAAAACGTCGAGAGCAGTTGCTGCATTTTGGGCATGCGCATCGAGCCACCAGCTAGCACAACGTCACGCACTTGACTCTTGTTGATCTTGGCGTCGCGAAGGACTTTCTCAATGAGCTTCGTCACTTTGCTGAAGAGCTCAGAGCACAAGGCTTCGAATCGCGCCCGGGTGATGCTCGAGCAAAAATCGATGTCGCCAAAGAGCATCTCAAGCTCGAGCGTCGCCGTGTTGGAGACGGAGAGGTCGCGCTTGACCTTTTCGCACGCTGTGCGAAGGCGACGCACAGCGCGATTGCACGTTGTCATGTCCTTGCGGTGTTTGCGCGAAAACTCGGCCACAAAGTGGTCGTACAGATGGTCATCAAAGTCCTCTCCACCGAGGCAGGTGATGCCGGCAACAGCCTCGACTTCGAAAATGCCGTTTTCAATCATCAGCAGCGGGACGCTGAGGTGGCCCCCACCCAAGTCGACGACCATGTCATGCCCCTCGCGACGGGGCATGCCCTTGATGGACGTGTGTCCGACGGCGGCAGTGGTCGACACGTCTTTGATGCGGTAATTTGTGAGTCCAGCAATGGCACATGCGTCTCGGACTGCCTGGCGCTGGAGCAAATTAAAGCCGGTGGGCACCGTGACAATTGCATGTTCGATGCGAGCGTTCGTGTACGCCGCAACGTCGTCCTTGAGCTTGACCACAAGCTCGGCCAAGACCTCTTCGGGATGGAGCTCCTTGGCATCACCCTTCTCGATAACGCGGATTATAGGGTTGTTCATGGAGCCGCGCACAACCTGGGCCGTCTTGCGCACCTCGTCGTAGCGGCGGCCAATGATGCGCATAAAGTCGAAGACCGTATTGAGCGCGTTTCGGTGCGCTTGGCTTTTGGCGAAGTCGCCAACGCGACGGCCAGAGTCGGTAAAGGCGACGCACGACGGAGTCGACAAGTTACCATAGTCATTGCAGACAAGCTCGACTTGGCCGTTGCGCCAGACACGTTGTCGTTCCGAGATCGATGCCGATCACGACACTTTTAGACCCGCCCGCCATCGTGTTGCTCGTCCTTGGTCTTGCTCGGAAAAATGAAAATGCTAAAGCGACGAGCTGGCTAAAATCCAAATCAGGTCTGTTGATAACCGAGTTGATAACCGAGTTGATAACCGAGTTGATCATTAGGTACAGTACCTAGTTGACCATCCGGATACGGCACTATACAATACATTCTCCGCATAATCTCAAACATGATAAGTCGTCGGTTTTCGCCAAGATTAATATCCATTGACATCCCGTCGACGTTGTATGGCTCCTCGAGCAGTGACGGCGTTCTCCCAGCCATGGTTTTGTTGCTCCAGCTTTTGGTGGCCTCCACTGACTGGTCTTCGTGAGCTCCAACGCCAGCACATACAAGCCGCAGGTGTGCTTCGCCAAAGCAACTGACGACAGAGTCGATCACGTGGTCACGGCCGTGCCTCTTTTCAACAAGCATCGTCCTGAACAGCGTCTCGATGAGCTGCGCGCTGGTGTCACCATTGG